ACTAGTAGTAACACCAGAGTGTGTTTCAAAGCCAGAAGATGTTAATTTTCCCTTGTGGTGGCAGCAGAAGCCACTTCCATCAACATCTGAAAATGAGAGTCAACATCATGACTTGTCCCTGGGAACAATTTCATGTTCATTTGAACCCTTTCACTACTGCCGTGTGGGAGCAGTTTCCAGCAGGAGATTGTGGCAAAGGAATAGGGCCCGAGCTGGGTGAATGGATTTTCTTTTCATTGGCCTGGAATGGTGAACCGCGGCCAGTGGGAGCTGCAATTGGCTGAACCTGCTGTCGCTGCAGGTAAATAAACCATCCCAACCCGCCATGGGCTTTCCCTGACGGGCTGCGTGCCAAAGGTTGCCGATCCCTGGTCTGTGTGGTGCAACAGGAGATGGGACCCCTCAGGATACCTGGGCCATTGATCTGCTCTTATACATCACTTCTCATTTTCTTTTGAAAATTCATGCAGCAGTTTCACACAGTTCAGCTGACAGGTACCATTGTCACTAGGAACAGAACGAGAGACAAGGCAAAACAGCTTCTTTAAGCTGCCTTTAATTAGCCCTTAAGTCATTTTCAGTTGATGGATTAATCATTCTAAGACATGATGCACTAGCAGTGCTCATAACTGTTTTTGAATTTCTTTCCAGCCCATCTGAGGATGCTGCTTCTCCCGCAGTTCTTACACAAAGTTCTGTTATTAGATTTTATTGGGCCCCACTGATAAGAGACAAAGCTCTAAAGTCTGGCCCTGGGAGTCAATTGACAGATGTGTTAATTCTCGGAGACTGATTTCTTTAGGGTCTGCAATGTCGAAGTACATTTTTTTAGGGTGACGTGTGTAAATCTTTGTGCTTGGGGAAGTGAGGGATCAATAGAAATGAAAGGAGCGGAGTACAGTGCGGGCTGGTAGAGCACAGTTACCACACAGGTAGAACTCTGCCATTTCACCTTTCAAATACCAGTGGCAGCATCCCTGCCATTCTAGTCTTAGATCTTCACGCAGCCAATGTGCTTCAGTCTTGCTACACAGGATCCCTGCTTTTCCTGCCAGGAGCGCCCACCTGGCTCTATCAATGCACCTTCCAGCTAACCTGCAGGACCCACACCTATTCCAGGCCTTGCTGCTCTCACAGCTCAGCCAATTCATCACCCAGTAACCCATGGTAAGATTAACTCCATGTCTCCAGCCCTGTTCCCCACTGCCCACATAAAGGAAAGAGATGCTTGTGTACTTTGAGAGATCCAGTATGTTTTTCTTTGGTGCTGCGATCTGTAGCTTGTGTCATTAGCGGCGTAGAGGGGTCTTTTTGCCCTGGGAATTGTCAGCAGCGAGGAGGGCTGTGAGAGTAGTTCGTGGGCTTAATGGTGGGTAAGTGAATGCACAGTATTAGATGGGTTCCTGTTTGTAAGTATTAAGGGGTTGCAAAAGTGGGGGACTGTAAAATTTAGCAAATGCAGTATTGCTTTTGTGGAACAGGCTAAGTGTTTGTATGTAGGGTTGGTGTAGGTAGCTCCTGTTCAGTGCTGCTCACCTAAACGCAAGTTTTGCCTTAGCAAAAGAGATGGTCTCAGATTGTCATTCAGTGGTCACATGGTCTATGCCCTGAATGTTCTGTGCTATTTGCAAAGGCAGACTTTGGAGTATGTGTGTCATTGGCATATTAGGCTGTCTCTGAAGAGGGCAGTTAAGTTTGCACTGGTGTGTACTTCCTATTTTCTGGTTTTCAGAGGTTTGAGTTTTGCTGAACTTGATGTTTTGGAGGGCTTGAGATACCACCAGCCAGCCATAACGCTTCAGTAACTAAGTTTTTTGTCAGTTAATGTCCTAAGTTTTTGAAAAATGTTTCTTTTGTAGAAGTCTGTACTAGGAAGCAGCCATCCTTAATTTTTAATAAAATAAAATAATAAAAATAAAATGGACCATTTTATTATATCATCATCTGACATGTCATATTATGCACTCCTCCTACTACTGACACATCATGAAATAAAACTAACATCAAAATGCCCATCAAAACAAATACATTTTGAAATGCACATTTCATTTTTAAACTAAATTTCAATTTTTTTTAAATGAAATTTTCCAAAATGAGAAATTTTACCAAAATCGAGATAATTTCACAAAACCTTTTTCATTTGTTGAGATGGCATTTTCTGATGGAAGCCTGTTTTGAATAAAAATTTCCAACCCACTTCTAATATACAGATCATTAACAACATAAGGAAATGTTTCCTAAACATTTAAATTAGGGGAAGGGTTTGCATTTCCCCTAGGATCTCTCCCCATTTTACTGTTCTTCCCAATGTATCATACTGGCTCACAGTTTATGTATAATTTCTGCCCTCTGCTGGATGGCACATCAGAACTGATCAGGCATTGAACCATGGGGAAGGACCTCTAGGTGAAGGAAGCCCACAGAGGATAAGAACCCTAATATGATAGTAACTAATAGATATTTCCCTTTAGTATCAGTGGCAGGGGACTGGGGTTTGGGTGCAGAAGGTCCTGGATTTTTTCCGCTAACTAGTATGGGATTAAATTCATTGATATAATTCCAATTAAACTACAATTCACAATTTGCACCCTCAGATTGTACTTCAGCAGAGTTTGCACACCAGAAAGTGAATCAGACCCAGTGTTACAAAAGTTACATAAATAGAGAGGACTGTGAATCAACGCAGTGAAAATATAAATAGTGCATTAATGTTTCAGTATTTTAGATGAAGCAAGTCTGGCTAAATAAATACCAGGAGGCACGTCAAATATTTGAACTGAAATTTGCAAACTTCAGCATTTGAAGTTTTGATTACATTGCACATTTGCAAAAAATGTTCCCCTTTTGGAGTGAAATCTGAGAAAGTTTGCAGTTTTGCCCTCCCAGGAACTGGCCCAGTTTTTGAGTGAGAACCTCCTGACATTCAAGGAAGCAAAATTTTGCATTTTGTGCTGACAAAGATTAATTTTTGCAGTTAAACATAAGAGAACAAGAATGCTTGCATGTTTTGATGCAAAAGTTGGGCATATAAAGAAAATGTCACAGGGAGTAACATTTCTGGGTTGCAAAATAGCCCACGATGCATTTTCACAAATTGACAAAGTGCCTCTTGGACTTGCTTAATAAATAATAACAATAATATCTGTTATTGCTATCAGTCATTGAGATAATACACACACTCCTCTCCCCTTGAACAATTCTAAATTAATTAAAGAGCAGACTCTCCTGCAGATCAAACTTATCTAAGTGGAACTTGTATAAATACCAGGGATCAAAAGAGTACACACACAAGGCAATACATTAGCAGTGGGTACATCTTGAAATGTGTGAGGTTCAGTTAGCAGGCAGAACCCTGAAGTCTAGACACTTCTCTGAAACATACCCAAAGGAAACCCCAGATCTGGCTGGCAATCTTGTGACAGCTTTTTTTTATCCTTTGCACTTATGATTGGAGCCTCGACAGTAAGAATCCATATCAAACCTAATGAGGGAGAGGGGAAATGTTAATCAAAGGTTTTTTTTATATCAAGAAATGTCTGGTTTGCATTCTGGCAAGTGTAGGATGGCGAGGATCTTTCCATCCTTTATATTGATCAAAGAGTTTATATTGAACACACACCACACACACATTATTAAAATTGTCTGACCCTTTTCATTATAAGAACCTGTTTTCAGTAGCTTATAACTTTGACAGATTTAACTGTTTGGAATGAATTTTTCCATTCAGCCCTGTCTGCCTCATTCTGAATTATTCCAGAAAATTTTAGCCAAAAGTGTTGAGCTGTTTCTGAGAATGAGGTTAGGGGAAAATACGTGGTTTTTCCTGTGCTAAATACTTCTGGTGTCCTTTTCTTTAAGAAGCTCTAGTGCCCCCATGCTTTGGAGAAAGGATTTGAAATTCAGCAGGATAGTGGCCTTTGCCAAAGCCATCCACATGAAAAAGTGCCCAAATTTGGCCAAATTATAAGTCTTTGAAAAATCTCAGTAGAAACTTGCTAGACCTGATGAGGTCCATCTTGTGCATTAAACAAGGCAGGGATCCTGGGGGTGAGGAATGTGCTCATGTAATTAAAGACTATCACCATGCATATGCACAAGGGGGCCAAATTAAAGTTGCCAAGGCAACCTTAATTCTGGCATTTCCTAACATTTGAGTGCTTGACTTTGCAACCTTAATGTTTTCTCAACATTGTTGTTGTGTGTGTGATATATGAAGAAGAGTTTGAGCATGTAAAGAACCAACCAGCTCTCATAGTGATTCCATCAGTTTGATCTAGATGCTCGGCGTTCACTTGTTGCATTTAAATCTTGAGGTTTACCACATTCTATGCCCTCAGCTGTTAGATGTACTGGATAAGTGGTCAGGCAAGCAAGCCTAGAACATTAGAGAGGGTCCTCTGATTCCATTCTCCCTGTCCCTTTTGCCATCCTTACAGTTCAGTTCGTTGTCAGCACTAGCTAATGCTGAGTGTATCTCTGTGTATGTGTGTCTCCAATTTCATTAGGACAGAGACAGAGAAGTGTCCACTTAGGGCCTTCTGGAACTGATCAGCGGGTCAGCTGGGAACGTCTGTCAGGAAGCCAGGGCAATAGCTCTCCCTCGCTCCTCCCCGGGCTTCTGTGAGGTTCGTGGCTCTCCTCCTTTCTCTTGCTGTCATTGCCACCCTCCCAACTCCCCCTGCCACACACCAAACTCCCAGACCTTTTCTGAGCACTTTGCTTAATCCCTGGGATTCTTTATATAGGAATTAATCTCCCCGTCACAGTGTGTGTCTGGAGGTGGGTGGGGGTGGGGGGGTACATTTATCTCTCCCGCTGAGAGGTCTAAAGTTGCATTGCTGTGATTATTAATGGTAGCAGCATGCGTGGATCTGGGATCTGTGTTTAGCGTCTTCATTTCTTAAACAGGACGGGGGCCACAGCAAGGCGATTTGGCAGCTCTGTGTTCCAGCTGTATTGTGTCTGCCGCTGAGAGGGAGAGAGTGTGAGTGGGGATCAGCATGGCAGAACAAGAAGCCAGTGGCTTGCAACTCCTTCTCTCCAGCCTCCAGGTAAGAGGAGCTTGAGCTAAGGGGACAGACACTTGGGCTGGTTTCCTTTGTAATCGACAAGCAATGACTTGCAGGGCTGAGGTTGCTAATGAGCTCCCTGCTGGCTTGTCTCAAAGGCATTAGAGAACAGGAGTCCTGCCCTGCATCTCCCCCCAGCCCCATACACATACCCTCCGAAAGCTTTTACAAAATTAAGTTTCACTGTTCAGAGATTAACGCTGGTGATTACTGCGATGCATCAATTATGGGGCCCAGTTTGAGTGCAGCGTCTCAGACCCTGGGTCTGCCAGCATGCAGCTGGGATAGAAAGAGCCTGGTTTGCAATGAATGGGACCTGTGAGTGCTGTCAGCTTATGAGTCAGACTGGGAAGGCAACAGCAGATCTTTCTGAGATGGGCAAGTCCACACTGTGCTCTTCGGCCCTTGAAGAAGTGGCTGTGCAAATTCCTAAGGCCAGGACAGCAGAGGCTCTTCAGACTGGCTTTGGTGTCATCTGCATGTACATAATAGAAGAAAGCCCAAAAGAGCAGAGGGAGGGAGTTTGTGTGAGATCCTCACCCAGGATCATCAGTAGCTGCGTGTGTCCCACCCAAACAGCTCCCTTCAACTGTAGAGAGCCCCTGACCTTTTCCTAGCATTTGTGGTCAGGCTCCAAGGTTCAGTTCCCAACAAAGGTTAATGCAGGGGAAGAAGCGCACACACATCTTCAACCTCACAGCACCCTGTTCTCATATTTGTGTGATGTTGTGCCATTTGCATGATAAAATCTCCCGCCCAGTGGGCAGAGTGCTCCATGGCCATTCCTGTTGCATGTTCTGGCCAGGGGAGCCTGTGTTTTTCATAAACACAGTATAGGTGCAGTGGTTGAACCTAAAACATCCATCATTTTGGCATTAGGGGCAGGTGGGAGTTTGTGCTTCATTTAGTCAAAATTCTGCCCAAACAATGTTCGTCAGAGTTTTTAAAATTCCAAGGCATCCATATCTTTTTGTGATTCCCTGACTCCCAACTCATGTAGCTGAGTAGAAGCAAGTCACAGCCTACCAAGAGACATAAGCATGCATGAGATGCAGGTAAACAGTCTTCAGAGTAGCAGCCATGTTAGTCTGTATTTGCAAAAAGAAAAGGAGTACTTGTGGCACCTTAGAGACTAACAAATTTATTGGAGCATAAGCTTTTGTGAGCTACAGCTCAATGCATCTGATGAAGTGAGCTGTAGCTCACGAAAGCTTATGCTCCAATAAATTTGTTAGTCTCTAAGGTGCCACAGGTGCTCCTTTTCTTTTTAGGTAAACAGTCTGTTTCACTCACATCTCAACACCTTTGAAGGCAATAGCAACCTGAGAAGTAGACTGCCATTGTTAATTGTGTGTGTCAGAAACCCACACCAAGACAAGTCCCAGAACTAGAATAGCTGTATTAAAAACATGAGAATTTCCTTACGGGGTCAGACCAATGGTTTATCTATTCCAGCAACATTTCTCTGACAGTGAGCAGGGTCACATGTTTAGAGGAGGGTATCAAACCCCACCTTATAATGGTTGGCATTTACACTCCAGCATGTGGGTTGACATTTGTCATCCAAGAAACTGATACAACTATGAATATTTTGATTAAACACATAGATGTCTCATCTTGGTATCTTGTGGCAAAGAGTTCCACAGGTTAATCACGTATTGTATTTAAAAAAATCTTGTCTCATTTTTCTGCCTTTTAATTCCATTAGCTGTCCCATCATTCTTTTATGATGAAGAAGTGTAAACAGAAGCACCCAATTTACTTTCTGTATAGCATTCACTCTTTTGTGCCCTGCTCTTGTGTCCCTTCAGATTGGTATTCTCTCTAAAGGACACTGTCCTAACATTCTCAATGTCTTCTTAGGATTGAAGGGTGTAAGTGAAGTGAGTGAGGGTCCAGAATTAAAAACAAAGATATTGCTAGATGTCAGCACTGAAGTTCTCTGGCAGAGCTGGGTGTGGGCCCAGGACTGGCATAGCAGACAATGCTGTGGATCAGGACTAAAGAGAACGGCAGAGCTGTGTGAATGGAAAACTATAGCACAGCACCTGCCCACAGTAACCCAAACTCAAACAGTGCTATTGGTTCTTAGCTTCAAGAGTACTAAACTCACTTACAAAAACAAAGTACTGTCTTGCTACAGTCACTCATCAATTTGGCATTAGGGGTTGGTGGAGGAAATAGTGGCTGGGGGCAGCCATTTTAGACTTGAATCTGATGCACAACGAGGAACTGTTTTTAGAGTAACAGCCGTGTTAGTCTGTATTTGCAAAAAGAAAAGGAGTACTTGTGGCACCTTAGAGACTAACCAATTTATTTGAGCATAAGCTTTCGTGAGCTACAGCTCACTTCATTGGATGCAACCGAGGAACTGGTGGCAACTGTGAAGGTAGAAGGCAATTGGGGGTGAAAACAATCATTAAATGACAGACTTCATGTTTCTAAATCAGAGCAGCAAAATAAGGACAATGGACTTCCACAAACAGGCTTTAACAAACTCAGAGAACTGGTAGGTAAGGCCCCATGGGAAGAAAATCTAAGGAAAAAAGGGGTTCAGGAGAGCTGGCAGTTTCTCAAAGAGACAATATTAAAAGTGCAACAGCAACCTATCCCAATGTGAAGGAAAGGTAGCAATGATAAAGAGAGGCCAATATGGCTCCATCAGCAGCTCTTTAATGACATAAAAACCAAAAAGGAATCTTACAAATATTGTTAACATGGACAAGCTGCTAAGGATAAATATGAAAGATTAAGACGAACATGTAAGGACACATCAAAAAGATTGTCAAGGTTCCTTCCCCACTCTGAACTCAAGGGTACAGATGTGGGGACCTGCATGAAAAACCCCTCTAAGCTTATTTTTACCAGCTTAGGTTAAAACTTCCCCAAGGTACAAACTGTTTTATCTTTTGCCCTTGGACTTTATTGCTGCCACCACCAAGCATCTAACAAATATATAACAGGGAAAGACCCTGCTTGGAAACGTCTTTCCCCCCAAAATCCTCCTCAAACCCTATACCCCCTTTCCTGGGGAAGGCTTGATAAAAATCATCACCAATTTGCATAGGTGAACACAGACCCAAACCCTTGGAACTTAAGAACAATGAAAAAACAATCAGGTTCTTAAAAAAAGAATTTTAATTGAAGAAAAAGTACAAGAATCACCTCTGTAAAATCAGGATGGTAAATACCTTACAGGGTAATCAGATTCAAAACATAGAGAATCCCTTGAGGCAAAACCTTAAGTTACAAAAAGACAAAAACAGGAATATACATTCCATTCAGCACAGCTTATTTTATCAGCCATTTAAACAAAACAGAATCTAACGCATATCTAGCTAGATTACTTACTAAGTTCTAAGACTCCATTCCTTTTCTGTTCCTGGCAAAAAACAACACACAGACAGAGAGAACCTTTGTTTCTCCCCCGCTCCAGCTTTGAAAGTATCTTGTCACCTCATTGGTCTTTTTGGTCAGGTGCCAGCGAGGTTATCCTAGCTTCTTAACCCTTTACAGGTGAAAGGGTTTTTCCTCTGGCCAGGAGGGATTTTAAAGGTGTTTACCCTTCCCTTTATATTTATGACAAAGGCCAAGTCACAAAATGAGTTACAACTAGCAAGGGACATAAAAGACAATAAGAAGAGATTCTATAAATACATTAGGAGTAGGAGAAAGATGAAGGAAAGTGTAACTCCTCTACTTAACAGGGAAGAAAAGCGAATAACAGACAACATTAAGAAGGCTGAGGTGTTTAATACTTATTTTACTTCAGTTTTCATTAAAAAGGTAAACTGTGACCAGATATTTAACACAATTAATATTAACAAGGGGGAAGAAACACATGCCATAATAGAGAAGAAACAGTTAAAAGAATATTTAGATAAGTTATATGTTTTTAATTTTGCAAGTCTGGATAAAATTCACCTTAGGAACCCACTGAAGTAATATTGGAACCATTAGCAATTATCTTTGAGACCTCATGGAGGACAGATGAGGACCAAGAGGACTATAGAAGGGTAAATCTAGTACCTATCTTTAAAAGTGGGAAAAGTGGACCTGGAAAATTATAAACCAGCCAGCCTAACTTTAGTACCTGGGCAGATATTGGAACAAATTATTAAAGAATCAATCTGTAAGCATTTAGAGGATAATAGGGTTATTTAAGTAATAGCCAGCATGGATTTAAGTAATAGCCAGCATGGATTTGTCAAGAACAAATCCAATGGAAGCTGCGATCGGCCGAACCTGTGGACGCGGCAGGTAAACAAACTGGCCCGGCCCGCCAGAGGCTTTCCCTGACGGGTCGCGGGCCAAAGGTTGCCGATCCCTGGGCTAGGCAGTAATACTGCTGGAAAGCATCTGGGGCTGATAGTGCATCATAAATGGAATATGAGTCAACAATGTGATGCGTTTGCTAAAAAGCCTTCTATCATTCTGGGGTATATTAACAGGAGCATTGGATGTAAGACAGGTGAGGTAATTGTCCCACTCTGCTGGGAACTGGTGAGGCCTGAGCCGCAGTACTGCATCCAGTTTTGGGTGCCAAGCTTTTAAGAAAGATCTGTACAAACCGGAGAGTCCACAGGAAAGTAATAAAAATGATAAACGGTCTAGAAAACCCGACCTATGAGGAAAGATGCAAAAGACTGACCATGTTTAGTGTTCAGAAAAGAAGACTGAGGGGGAAACTAGTAAAAGTCTTCAAATATGTTAAGAGCTGTTATAAAGAGGAGGGTGATCAACTGTTCTCCATGTCCACTGAAGATAGGACAAGACTTTCTAACTATAAGGATATATTAGCACTGGAATAGGCCTCCAGGTGAAGTTGTGGAATCCCCATCATTAGAGGTTTTTAAGGATAGGTTAGACAAACATCTCTTGGGGATGGTCTAGCTATACTTGTTCCTGCCTCAGTGCAGGGAGAAAGAGCAAGACAAGATGACCTCTCAGGGTCCCTTGCAGCCCTACATTTCCATGATTCT